AATTGATTTTTTTCCCCCTTTATTATAGCTTCTACTAATTTGTTCAGCAAAAACATCAAGCTGCCTGGTCAGAAACCCCCAAGAGCCTTTTCTCAAATTGAGTCTGCTAGTGAGCCTTTAAAAACAGTTTTAAGCAAATGTTTCTACACTACAGTTAGTCAGGTCTTCCACCCTCCAGTTGTTTTCAGACCTCTGGGGTAGGAGCCACATGGTTTTAGACACTGCTTAGTACATCTTTCTCCATAGCTGTTCCTACTGCTGTTTTGATCAGAGACAGTCCTTTGATGAATTTTCCTGTAAAGAGAGTTTCTGCTGCAAAAATCTCCCAGGCTTTTGTGTCATGAACACCAGTGAGAGAAACCTGTCCATTTTTTTTGTCCACCATCACCTTTTCTTTCTTTTTTAAGAGGTCTTTCCTTACATACTCTAGCCCTTCAGCCTTTAAGACAATAAACAGCAGAGTTCCAAATTGGCAGCAAAGATCACTGAGAGCAGAAAATAGATTGAGGGTTTTGAGGGGATATTTTTTTGTGGGTAGATGGAAACACAGAAGAAAGAATATGCTACGGTGATGTTACTGAAACTAAGCTGATAGTTTCAAACTTGCCGTAACAGATACTATGATCAAGACCTCAGATACCTGAAATGAAACGTATGCAGGCAGAGTCATTGGAACAATGAAACTGTGGGACCAGAGCGTTTCTCTGAAGAGCTCTGGAGGTACTGTTTTGACTGTTCCTCACTGAAAAAGAAAGGTATGGGTAGCTCACGCAGGCTGACAGCAGGGGAACAGAATAGCTGAAATTGGTTGGAATATCCTTGGTTAAAGTCTGAGAGGCAAAGGGCATGTTCTTTGTGGCTGCCTCTAAAAGAACCTCAAGTACTCATTGCCCTGCACAAAAGCTGCCATCAAGCCATCAGCTGTGTAAGAAGGCAATGGTACCACAGCTGAATAATCTTCCTCCTCACAACAAGAAGCTGTCTTTAAATCCTGAAGGAACTTTGTGTTTGGTGATTGACCTTATGGGTCCCAAGAGGTGGAGGAAGCATCCTTCTGCCTCTTCGATATGAGTCCCTGAATACCATCATCTGCTGAGACCGTGACTTGCAAAACCCAAAGGGATCTTAATTTTTTCTTTTGCAGGGTGAGAAACCCTAGATGTGCTTGCAGACAGGGGCCAGAACGGGCAGGCATGCCCCAAGATGGGATGTATGCCTGGTGTCTTGCTTCCTGGTCCTGGGAATCCTCTCTCCTGACACTATCTCACTAGGAGTCACTGCCTCCTAGCACCACAAAAATTATGAAGAATCTGAGTATGGGGCTGAGAACTGAGGTGGGAAAAAAAGCGCTAGAAATATATTGCTGATCATGCTGAAGGGTCAGTGTTTCTGACAGTGACTGTCACTGAACCCATGGGAGCCTTGTGGCTGCCATGGGGATGCAGACAGAAAATGTGGCATTGGGGTGCAGAGCTGAAAACGCAAACTGTGTAAGGTCGCTTAGTAAGTCTGAAAACAAAGAGGAAATAACAAAGAGCTTGCCAAACCTAAAAAAACCCCACTCAGCTTTGCTCTAGAAATTGAAGGTATATTTTTTTTCATAAACATGGATGCTTTTTACCCGTTGTCAGTGACATCTAATCCCTGATTTTTGCCTTTTTTCTACCCAAGCAATTAGATTATTGTGATGATTAAAACCTCAAAGACATTAAAGACTTAGGATGCCTTGTTCTTAATGAGAGATACATGATATTAAAACTGAGACCTTCGTATTTAACTCATGAGGTCTGGTCACACTACTGGCTATTCCTTAGAGTTGTCACCCCCCTTTCATCTTCTGAGGGCCATATGGGCTTCCATTGTGGGCACTTTGTTAAATAAGCTCTTCAGGCTGCCAGTGCTTTTGGCATCACAGAATCCCCACAGAAAGCCTCCATTTGAACTGAGATTTGCCTCTAGGTCCACTGGACAACTGAAGAGGGGCAGATGTTCCCCAGCGCTGCATGGTCAGGTCTGGCAGCACACACACAGCAGCTCATGGGGACCAGCACCCAAGGTGCCCAGACCATCCAGCTCCCCAGATGTTTCCATCTGGCTTACCTCTCTGCTGCTGAAGAGCCAAGGGTGCACACAAGCTCGCTGGCTGGTGGTCGCCGCCACTGCTGAGGTCTCAATCCAGGCACCAAACCTGCAAGCAGCTTGAATCAAAACAGAACCAGGCAGGCTCTTTGGCTTTTTATTCATCCAAATCACAGCTACCCCCTACAATGCTATGGCTGATTCTACATCATGCTGCAGTTTGCTTCTTCTCCTTTTTCACTTCCTGATGCACTTCTGCCTGGCCACACAGCATGAACTTTGCTATCCATAGCTGATAAGCTAAACCACATCCTATAACAGCAAATGTAGTCATGAAAGAAGCAGCACCCAGGTGTCATTGCAACTGAGGAGACCTGCCCTGGGTCATAGTGCCAAATCCTTGCTTATCTTGCTAACTCAGCTGCCCTCAGGACTGACAAGGGAAAATTAAAATATCTCCTTCCCCAAAATATTTCTAAACAGGGGATAGAGGTGAAATACGGGAAGTGAGAGCAAAGTTGATTAATTGCTAGCTAGACAAAGACTTGGAATCCTGTCACTCTCATGGGCTTGGGCGCTTTGGGGTTGAAGTCCTGCCTGGGGGCCCAGCTGTGCACTGCTGGCATGTGGCAAGGTCCCAGAAAGAACTGAGCTCTGAAGAGATGTCAGTGCCCGTGGCAAGCAAAGGCATGTTTGCCACAAACGTCAGTCCCTGATGTTTGAGGCTACAGAAGGCACAGTGCTAAGAAAGTAAAAGGGCTGATTTACCAGATCTGTGACCTGGCACTGCCATGTGTAGCTGGGAAGGGAACTGTTACTTCAAGTCCTATTTCTGCTTTGCCAGTCTCAGCACACCTGGAAGAAGACATGAGCAGCGATACTCCTAATCCTACTATTATCCTTCCCCAGAAACAGCTGCCCCAAGAAGAAGGTGCTTTGCTGCTCTTTCTCTGCAGCCCTTGGCTCAGCTCCTCAACCTGCTGGTGTTTGACTTTCTCACTCCCTGTCTGCTGTTGCTGACTCCTCATTCAGGGAGTGACATGTCAAGGGATATATGTTCCTGTTGCTCATAAATCCTCAGAGGGTACAATAACTCCCAAACCACTGATCTCACCCTACCTCTTTTTAGTGCCTGTCTTTTTTAATCAGACTCCCATTCTCACTTCCTAGTTGCTGGGATCTTTGTTCTCACAGCTTTTTGTGTCTCTTTAGTTCCCGTTAAGGTGCCATCACTGATAAAGGCTTGCAGATATACTGGCGGGGTGTCCTCTGCCGAAGGAGTCTCTGACACCCTCCGTCGGAACTTCCCTCACCCCCGCAGCCCTCGGACCCCACACACACATGCACACACCTGGCTGAGCCTGGTAGTCTTGGCTTTTCTATGTGTTAGAAGAGGACGACACAGTAGCCCAGTCTGTGAGCCAGCGAGCCCACGAGGCCCACAGCACCCCTCACCAAGCCGGGTTCACTCACCTCACTGTGTCTTGCCGCATCAGCCCACGAACTCTGTCTCCCCTCGCCCAGGTGGGCTCACACCTCTTCCCCTCGCTGTCTCTTGGAGGCTCAGCTTGTGGGGAAGAGCAGCACAACCCCCGGTGTTTCCTCACTGCTGAGTGAGCAGCAGGTAAGACCAGATTACTGGGGTGTGTGTTGGAGGCTACACCCTGATGCTGCAGATCCCAACATGCCTACCGCCCCGGAGTGCTGACTCCAGAAACCAGGAGCAAGGACCCAACAGAAGGAGGGATGCAGGAAGCTGGGAAGGCAAGGGAAAAGGTGGAATTCGTGCTAAAGGAGAGAGGCTGCTCAGGTTTGAAAGGATGACTGGTAAACCCCAGTGCTCTTCAGACTCCTTTCTACAGGAAAATGTGGAAAAGCACAGTAAAGAGGTGAATCCCTTTATGGAAGAACCACAGCAGGACCAGAGCAGCCCTGCTTCACTTTCTGAACGATTCAGACAGGAAAAGCAAAAATCTGTGGGCTGTGTGAGGAGTTTTACCTTCCAGGGTGGTGGAGACAGCTGGCACTTCCCAGGCTGCCTGGGGGAACGGCAGGCTTTTGTCCCAGGACATTTCAGCTCCCTGGTCACACAAATCATATTTTCCTGGGCTTCCAGGGGATCTTAGGAAAGAGCTACCTGCTGAGAAGAAGGGCAGCCAGCCCATTATGCCTCCTAGAAGAAGGGCAAGGACTGTCCTTGGGGAAGAAAATGAGCAGGGTGAAGGGAGACCTGCCAGGGAAAGAGTAAGAGAGCCAGGGAGCAGCTTGGCTGCAGGGTAGAAAAGAAGAATCTCCAGCCTGGAGGAGGCAGATGAGGGAGTGTCCTCAAGAACAGCAGCTGAGGATGAGGAAGGTAGTAGGTCTTCCTGTCTCTAATCCCAAGAGCTGTCACTGCAGGGAAACTCTCTGTCTCCCAAAAGCAATGATGAGCTGATGGGTCTAGCTAGAGTTGCTTGATGCTGCCAGGTTCTTCTCGTGTGGAAGGCTCCGTCTGCAGCTGACTGGATCTTGGGCTGCTTCCTGCTGATGAAGTGACTGGACTGTGGAGAAAGACAACCACATCACCTGCTGACAGGATGGCAGAGGCCGAGGGTCTGACACTGATCCTCTCCCCATCAATGTGAGCTCCCTGTGGCGAATGCCCACCCTGAAGCCCCAGGTCACAACTCTCCCACCATGCTGCCCAAGCTGTAAGTACAGAACAGCACTGGTGTGGACAACCTCTCAGGGCCAACCCAGCAGATTTCTGCAGGCTGCTGGGTTTCCGATGCTGGCAGGCACACCAGGGCAGCCCATGGGCAGTGCTGGGCTGCAGCTGCTGGGAAAGTGACTATCAGGCAGAGGCCGTGGGAAGCCACAGGAGGTGATTCAGGTGGCTGTTGCACCGTGACTGAAGGTGGTGGAGTTTTGCCACGGACAGGATGGAGATGGTGTGCCTGCACGCAGTGCTGATCCCCGTGCAGTGCGTCGCTGCCGTGACCTGGCTTTAAGTATGTTTTGTGCTGTCTGGGTTGGAAAGTCATCTAGGCAGGTGCTGTCTTCAAAGAAAATGGGGTGATAGAAGGGTAGAAGAAGGAATTTGGGCAACTGAAAGACAGCACATTAGAAGGGGCATCTCTGGGAGCATGGACGGAGGAGGATGGTAAAGCTGAGGAGGTGCAGACCAGGATGAGAAAGAGGAATGTCCAATTCAGCACAGACAAGATGAGACACCTCCCCTTCCCTGCAACATTTCTACTCTAAAATAAGGCTACAGAGGGCTAGTCCTGAAGAGATATGGCCCTGGCTCTGGCACATCTGAAACTGAATCTCTCCCCTGCCCTGCAGGTACCTGGCCAAGCAGACCTCCCTGCAGGTGTCCCTCCGGGACCCCAGGGGTGTGATGGTCTGACGGGGTTGGTAGAAGAGCAGGTCCACATTTGCCAGTGGCAGGTGGAAGCCATGGATGCAGTGAGGCAAGGTGTGGAGCTGGCTGTCCAGGAGTGCCAATACCAGTTTCACTCTCGCTGCTGGAACTGCTCCACCCTGAAGGGGCTGCAGGTCTTTGGCAAGGTGGCCGTCCAGAGCCGTCAGAGCGGGGGAGGTGACACAGACAGGGTTGGCATGGGGTCCTTCTGGTATGCCTATAGGGTCCCCTTGACACATCAGCCTTTCCTGGGCTAGGGTGCAAGGGTCACAGTGGACCCATCCCCAGAGTAGCCAGCGCCTTCCTCCACATTCCAACATGTCTGTCAACAGAGAGTAAACTGAACCAAACGCATGTTCTTTCACACATACTAACATTCTGCTTAAACTTATTGCCCATTTGGCCAGATTTGGCATTTTGGTCCCATCTGGACCATTTTGGGTACCAGCTATGCAGATTGGTGGATCTTCTCCCTCACCCTGCCACCAGCCCTGACACAGAGCCACCTCCATTACTGGCTCTTGGCCTTGGGAACTGCTGCACCAGGTGAACACCCTGCCATCTATTTCTCCCAAGCAGTCTCCATCTGAATGCATCTTTCCTCTGTGCAGTCACAACCTCTTTTCCCTCACCACGTCCCATCAGTGCCTTTGCCCCCGCAGACTGGTGCCATTTCTTGCCCTGCTGCAGGCACAAGGGAGGCTGGTTTCATCCACGCCATCTCTGCTGCTGGCATTGCTTTTGCTGTGACTTGTGCCTGCAGCCACGGGGAGATGGAGAAGTGTGGCTGCGACCGCAAGGTCCGAGGAGCCAGCCCTGAAGGTGAAGGAGAAGGCTGTGGCAGGAAGGGGGTGGCAGAGGGAAAGATCTATGGGAGAGACTGTCTCCAGGGATGGAGACATATCCCTTCTCCACAACCCTTTGGGAGATCCTCTCAGGGATTCTCCTTCATCTTATGGCTGCTTTCCCTCAGCAGGTTTCCAGTGGTCGGGCTGCTCCGATAACCTGTCTTATGGGCTTGCCTTCTCTCAAGCCTTCGTGGGCAACCCAGAGAGGAGCCATGGTGTCTCCTCCAGCCAAGCACTCATGAACCTGCACAACAATGAGGCTGGGAGGAAGGTAACAGCAGGAACAAGGGCTAGGAAGCAAGCCTGGCTTCAGGGGTTTCCCTCTGGCTAGACAGAGCTCAGTCCAGCCCCCATACCCCAAGAAACAGTTTGAGGAGGTTGCATCCTTCTGCTTTCTTAGCCCAGCACTGGTGGAGGGGGGCCCCAGCCTCCCCTACCTGCTTCTGTGCAATCTCCTTTTCCTTACAGAGCCCAGCTGTGATTAACCTTCCTTGGCCTTTTCTGCAAAGGAAATTAGTTACTCTGTTCTGCTCTGAAGAGCTTCCCTGCCCCTCTAGCCCATCCTCAACAAAGGCACCATCTTATCCAGGGGTCACAGTCAGATCTGGTCCCTTGAACATCCTCTGTCTCTGGGCAGATCTGTTCCCCTCCTAGAGCCCTACAGACCAGAGCAGGTCCCCATCCCTTTCCCTGCCTCAGGGATTTCTCTTACAGACCCAAGCCAGCTTGTTGCCCACAGAGTGGATCTTCTTCTCTTTGTATTGACCTGGCTTAGAAAGACTTTTTGCCCTCCCCTCCTGTCCCCTCCCCTCCCTTCCCCTGCCCTCCCTCTAACCCTCTGAGAGGTGTGTGGAGGGAACAGCAGCTGCTGGGGGAACCTGCAGCAATGGGAGGTGTTGGGAAGAGTGTCCCTGGTCTGACTGGCAGCTGCCTCCTGCTCGCCAGGATCTCTTGACCCACATGAAGGTGGAGTGCAAGTGCCATGGTGTGTCAGGCTCCTGCGAGGTGTGCACATGCTGGAAGGTCATACCTTCCTTCCGCAAGGTGGGCAACATCCTCAAGGAAAAGTTTGAGGGGGCAACAGAGGTTTACCCGAAGTGGATCAGCCAGGGAGATGTCCAGAGGTGTCGCCAGCTCCTGAGTGCTCCCCACACAGCACCCTCCCGCCAGCCTCAGTGGGCTTTCTGTGGTTTGAATTAATTTTCTGGGTGGAGGGTTGGAGGACACAAGCCAAATAAACCCCTAAACTTTAGAAATAAACCAGCTGCAATGGAAAGCAAAGTGCACACAAAAGCTTCTTCCTCACATGCTGCATTTGGGACCTGGAGGGTCCCTGGCTTTGCTTCCTCCTGTGTCCCAGGAGGGAACAAGGCCATGCTGAGCCCTTCTGCTCAGGGGACACATGGGCTGCATAAGAAAGGAACATGACTGTGGATCCGGATGGCGTGAGGATCCATCTTGGGCAAAAGAGGGGTCACTGGGGAGTGTAATAGAGCAGTGGCATTGGAAAGAAGGGAACAAATGAATTTTGTATAATCAAACAGGCTCTTTACAAAATAAGACTCATCCTTTGGAGGACTGGTACAGGGAGCTATGTACAGGGAAAGGATGCAAGAAATGCCTTTTCCAGTGCTCAGCTGTTCCTTTGGCTGGAGAAAATATTTCCAAGAGGAGTTCCAGCAGCTGCCACAGTGAGGCTCCCCTCATTCAGTCTGACCTCAGTGCCGGAGAAGGTTATGGAAGAGATTACCTTGAGTGCAATCATAGGGCATGTGCAGGACAACAGGGGGATCAGGCCTAGGCAACATGGATTTACAAAAGGCAGGTCCTGCTTGACCAATCTGATGTCCTTTTATAACCAGGTGACCCTCGCAGTAGATGAGGAAAAGGCTGTGGATGTTGTCTACCCGGACTTTAGTAAAGTTTTTGACACAGTTTCCCACAGCATTCTTCTGGAGGAGCTGGCAGCCCACGGTTTGGACAGGTGCACTCTTTCCTGGGTTAAAAACTGGTTGGATGGCTGAGCCCAGAGAGTGGTGGTGAATGGAGTTACATCCAGCTGGCAGCCAGACACTACCGGGGTTCCCCAGGGCTCAGTGTTGGCGCCAGTCCTGTTTAGTATCTTTATCAATGATTTGGACGAGGGTACCCTCAGTAAGTTCACTCCACCAAGTTAGGTGGGAGTGTTGGTCTGCTGGAGGGTAGGAAGGTTCCGCAGAGGGATCTGGACAGGCTGGACTGATGGACAGAGGCCAATTCTAAGAGGTTCAACAAGGCCAAGTGTCAGGTCCTGCACTTGGGTACACAACAACCCCATGCAGTGCTACAGGCTTGAGAAAGAGTGACTGGAAAGCTGTCCAGCAGAAAAGGACCTGGGTGTGCTGGTCAACAGCAGCTGAACATGAGCCAGCAGTGTGCCCAGGTGGCCAAGGAGGCCAGTGGCATCCTGGCTTTTATCAGAAATTGCATGGCCAGCAGAACCATGGAAGTGATTGTCCCTCTGTACTCAGCACTGGAGGGGCCATACCTTGAGTGCTGTGTCCAGTTCTGGGCCCCTCACTACAAGAAAGACATTGAGGTGCTGGAGCATGTCCAGAGAAGGGCAACGAAGCCTGTGAAGGATCTGGAGTGGCTGAGGGAGCTGCGGTTGTTTAGCTTGGAGAAAAGGAGGCACTGAGGAAACCTTATTGCTCTCTACAGCTACTTGAAAGAGGCTGTAGCAAAGTGGGGATTGGTCTCTTCTCCCAGCCAACAAGTGATAGGACAAGAGGAAATGGCCTCAGGTTGCAACAGGGAAGGTTCAGATTGGATACTGGGAAAGATTTCTGCACTGAAAGGGTGGTCAGGCATTGGGACAGGCTCCCCAGGGAAGTGGTGGAATCACCATCCTTGGAAGAGTTCAAAAAACAAGTAGACATGGCACTACACGATATGGTTTAGTGGGCATGGTGGTACTTGGTCAAAGGTTGAACTTGATTATCTTGAAGGTCTTTTCAAACTTTAATGATTTTCTGACTGCTGCTTGGCAAGGCTGAAGAACCTCTCATGCCACTGCTGCACCTCCTCTTCTCCCTCCTTCGCACTCAGCACCCGGTAGGTCTCGTTACTCTTGCATTCAACGCGAGTCACCTGCAAGGAGAACCTGAGTTCATAGGAAGGGTGCCACTGCCCATCCTTTCCACAAGGAAAGAGGATCTCCATGTTGGACAGCATTTGGAGGCTGGCATGATGGGAGCACCAGAGGGGAAGGGGGAGAACCAGCTGGAAAGCTGTTCAGCTAATAGCTGAGCTGTGTGTTTCCTAAGATATAGGCTAGTCCTCCGTCCTGCTACGGCGATTCTGGTTTTTGTTACCACTTAGGAAGCAATCAGTAGATGGGAGAGATCCTCCCCTAGAGGGATACCCTGATGGGTGGGAGTTTCTTTTTCTCCACATTATATCTGCCTCTGCTTCCATCCCTTACAGTGTCTGTGCAAATCCCACCCACCTATGACACGCCAGTTATGTTTGGGTCACTGTTTATCGCCCCCCGAAACACATCCAATTCTGTCCTGCTGGAAGGACAAGCAGGGTGCCAGGGAGTTCCACAGGGACTCAAGGCTGGCTATGGAGGGTTCAGCCATGGAGGAGCAGGCTGTGCAAAAGGCAGTGCAGCTGCTTCTCACCCTCTGGTTGTGGATGCTCTTCTGGAGGCACTGGTAGCTCTTGAACATGCAGTAGCTGGGGTGCTGAACTCCGCTGGAGTCACAGATCTGGGGAGATGGGGATGAAGGTCAGAGAAAGAAGAAGAGAAGGAGAGATGGGAACATCTACTGATGGTCACCCACCTTATTCGGTGTACCTCTGTCTTGGAAGGCAGCGTACTCTGCCTCCAGCCAGAGGATCACACTTGGGTCCTGGCAGCCATGGGTGGCCATCCGACTGCACCAGTACTCTGACCTCAGCCCTCTGAAAAAATCCATGTCATATTCCTCCAGAGTCTCTGAGAATCTGGTCTGCAAAGGAGCGGGATAAAGTGAGACATGCTTCTTCCTTCCCTTCCCCACCTCCCAGTCCAGGCTCCTCCTCAGAGACCAGCAGGGCATACAGCTCACTTGGTACCTGCTTTTCTGCATCCTGGTGCTGGGCTGATATCTGAGGGTTGATGTAGGTGAAGAAGTCACCTGTGTCGCAGTGAACACGGCTCAGGGTTTTGATGTTCTGACACTGCTCCATCTTCAGCGAGCAGAAAGCACAGTCAGGGCACAGGTCCATGTGATGACGCCCAAGGTTGTCACACACCTAGGGTGGATGGTTGGGGGGGAAAAGGAGACTAAGAAGCTCCCAAAAGAGGAGACTGAGGAGCTCCCACATCCCTGGCTTGGAGCTTGCCTCCCTGGTCACCCAGGTCAGCTTCTCTTGGGAGGTGACACCTGAAATGACAGGGAGCCCTGCACACCATGGGGGTCAAAGGTGGACATCAAGGTCTTTACCGAGTCTCCAAACCCAAAGACTCTTTTTTCCATCTCCTTCCAGGCCATGGTAAGCATTGACGAGAGACAGTTTCCCTCCAGCACTGCATAGCACAAGACCAGCACTGCCTCATCATTCTGCAGGGCTAAAAGGCTGACAGAGAAAGGGAAGAAGGAAGTCAATACACCTTCAATTAGAAACTGAAAGAGGGGAAAACAACCCCAAAACATAGCAAAAAAACCCCTTCCCAAAGAAACCTTGGACTCCTGGCTAAACTGCATAGAAGAATGGGGGTATCTGCAGAGTTTGTACATGCCTGTGTAACACAGAGGCTATGGGGTGTGTGTGTGTGTGTGTGTGCGCGCATTTGGGAGCATGTGAGAGGGACTGGACGAAGCTTCACAGCTTGAAGAACTTTCCCAGGGCTCCTGCAGCAGGTGCTGCCTAGTTTTGTCCATCTGGGGGCAATGAGGAGATGTTCGTTAGAGGTTTGCTGAGTGTTGACTGTCGGGCAGCCCCATTTGGGTCTAGGGGATGTCACTCATTAAGCCTCCCTCCTTCTTGAGACAATGTATTTGATAGAAAGGGGAAAAATTTTTTAACCATGAATTAACTGTTCATCCAAACTGACATGGGTAGCTAAAAGTAAAAAATTTAAGGACAATGGGATAAGACCAATAAGAATATTAGGAACAGTGGAATTTGTAGGCATGGTACAGAACTGTTACTAGACATGGATGGTTGGCTTCAGTCGTCAACAATGGTACAGAAGAGGTAAAAATGCTCAATTAGATATTTGCCTCTTGTGTCTGGAAACAAAACCAGTGATAAATAAACAAACTGATCTGACAAAAAGTAAGAGGAGCAGCAACTGCCTATGTTAAAATGCTCTTAAAATCCATGCATGGGCTAACCTGTATGGACAAATCCTCCTGAGAGTATTTGAAACTTCTTGGAGACCTTCAGATTAGCATTAAAAAAATAAAAAAAAGCTGGAGAACCTCAAGGAAGGTCATGAAGATGAGATTTCCTAAGGCTTGGAAAACTTTCACCTAGAGCAAGAGGCTAAAAAAGCTTCACTTAGTTGAGTGAAGACACTAGGGGGTGGCCACTCAGCCAGCCAGCACTTTTTCCAAGGAGGGCACCAGCTGGAAAGATGTCCTTGTCAACAGATGGAAGAGTAATGACTTTTGGTGACTGGAATTTGGGGCGAGATCCTTTCAAACCAGAAATTAGCTGCATGTTCCTGACACAGAGGGTATTTAGCTTGGGAGCAGCTGATGAGGTGGTTTCTCCACAGTTCAGAGACTTCAAAAAGATATCCCAAACTTCTCTTAGGAGAAGGGTCTGTAGCTCAGACACATGATACTGTTTTTTTTCTCCAGGGCTCACCAGACATGGTTTCATGTCCTGCGCTGAGCAGGAAGGCCAAGGTGCATGATCAGAGCAATTGCCAGGCCTGAAGGTTAAAATAGATCACCTTCCTGGAAATCGGAGTTGTGCCATCAGTTTGAGGTTACCAAGAAATACTGTTGCACTCCCTGTCACATCCTTTTCCTGCTCTATCTCTGCTCGTCATCGCTGCTGTAAGGTTTTCTGGCCTAATATTTTCAAATTTATGAGCTGATTTACCACCTCTGAGTGAGTATAACAGCACTGCTGTGGGTGCCCTATGCTTCTTGACATACTGCTCAGCTGTTTGTGGATGTACAGACATTTCACCCATGCTTCAGGGAAAGGCACAGATC